CATGTCCCTCCATTCATGTATTATTTTAAACATGTTACATGCCACCATTATGATCCGAACGGGATGAAATTTGGAAAAAATCCATCCAATTGGGATGAAATTTTATTTCCACATAGACGAGTCCTATTGACATTGGTCAAAATCAAAATTTATTTAAGTATTGAATAGATTCTAGAATGATGTATCCTGTTCTTGTCCGGTCGTTTTTTTTTTTAATTTAAAAAAAAAAAAAAATTTCAAACGCTTTAGTCGTCGACAAAAACTATGACGAAGAAATCTTCGACATCGTCGTCGTCACACATTGTTACGGAATACCAAAAATGTTTTAATATGTATCGATAAATGTCGACAACGACATAGGGAATACCAATTTGCAAAAGGCGACTCTCTTCGACGTCGTTTCGTGTCGACGACGACATACAGAATAGGGGTGATTTTCTTGCTAGAAGTACTAAAGGTCCCAATAAAAATGTTTTCTCACAATATATTAAAATTTCAATAGCTTTATATATATATATATATATATACATTTCATTTCATTTATTTATTTTATTCATACAAAAGCCCTCTGGGTCTTTTACTGTATTAGAAAGCGTTATTAAAAAATTTAAAATACATTTATTTTTTACATATATTCAAATATATTGCAATATGTTCCAGAACCTGCCAGAATATAAAATAAAATACTACGATAACAATTTGTTGGTCTCCCGATATATTTGACGTTTGGTATTATACTTTAAAAATAAGTAAAATCAGCTCTGTAAAGTGGACATACAACTATCATATAAAAATTATATTTTGAACCTGAATTACTATGTACACATTTTCTATGTATATATATATATTCATAATTGGTTTTCTATGATTCATAAATGCTACCAGAAAAAAACGCATTTTCATGAAAAATTGGTAACGTTTTCGAATTAATCGAAATTAATAAAAAAAAATGAGAAGGTCCAAAATACGTATTCTACGTAATAAATTTAAATCCATATATGTAGATACAACAAAAAGCTATTTAAATTCCGCACTTTAATAGACATTTGGGAAGCAATACGTTTATCGTTGTCTGTGGTTTAATTGTGTTGAGTTTGCACTTTTATTTTAAATTATTGGCGAAGTAGGAATAATAAACAATCTATCTATACTAATAAAAGAGTAAAGTGATTGACTGACTGACTGATTTAACGATTCATCAACGCCCAGACGAAACGGCTGAAGCTAGAATCTTGAAATTTTGGGTGAGGGTCACTCTTGGCCCAAATGTGACAGATAAGGCTGGGTTTTTGGAAATTCGTATTAGAAGGGTACGAAAAGTACTAAAAAGTACTAAATATGATATCATTTGTATTTGGCGAACCAGTAGAGCTAGAACTCTGAAATTTGGATTGAGGGTCACTGATGGAGTGTAGGATAGATGTACCAAAGGGTTTTTGGAAATTCGAACTACAACTATCCGAAATGTACGAAAATGTACTAAATTTGGTACAATTCTGTAGCATGAGAACGGATAGAGCTAAAAACTTGAAATTTGGAATGCGAATTAGGGTTGGGAAGTAGGGTCGATATAAGGAGATGGTTTTGAAACCGTGTACTCATGTGTACGAAAAGTACTATATGGTACTATATTTGGTACAAATTTGATTTGGAGGTACAAATGGAGCTAGAATCCTGAAAATTTAAAGTAACATTACCGTCGGAGTATAGGATTGTGATATGTACGTAGTTTTGGAAATTTGTTACTTATGTGTACGAAAAGTACTAAATCGTACTATAATTGGTACAATTTGGATTTGGGTGAACCGATAGAGCTGAAACAATGAAATTTGGATCATTGTAGGAGTGTAGGATTGGGGTCAGGACTCAATTTAAGACAATATTACTTATGGGTACTAAATGGTACTAAATTTGGTACAATTTGAATTTTAGGTGAACCAATTGAGCTAGAAGCATAAAACTTGGAGTCAGGATCACTGTCGAGGTGTAAGATTGAGATATGTGAGAAGTTTTAAAATTTTGTACTAATGTGTACTAAATTTGGTACAATTTAAATTGTGGGTGAACCGATGGAACTGGAATCCTCAAACTTGGATTTAGGATCACTGTGGGGGTGTTGGTTTGAGTTAAGTAGGAAGTTTTGGAAATTCGTACAACTGTGTACTAAATTTGGTACAATTTGAATTGTGGGTGAACCGATAGAGTTGGAATCCTGAAATTTAGATTTTGGAGCACTGTGGGGGTGTTGGTTTGGGTTAAGTTGGAAGTTTTTGAAATTCGTAGTAAATGGTACTAAATTTGGTACAATTTGAATTTTAGGAGAACCAATAGAGCTAGAATCATGAAATATGGAGTCAGGATCATTGTTGAGGTGTAAGATTGAGATATGTAGGAAGTTTTAAAAATTTGTACTAATGTGTACTAAATATGGTACAATTTAAATTATGGGTGAACCGATGGAATTGGAATCCTCAAACTTGGATTTAGGATCACTGTGGGGGTATTGGTTTGAGTTAAGTAGGAAGTTTTGGAAATTCGTACAACTGTGTACTAAATTTGGTACAATTTGAATTGTGTGTGAATCGATAGAGTTGGAATCCTGAAAATTAGATTTTGGAGCACTGTGGAGGTGTTGGTTTGGGTTAAGTTTGAAGTTTTTGAAATTCGTAGTAAATGGTACTAAATTTGGTACAATTTGAATTTTAGAGCTAGAATCATGAAATTTGAAGTCAGGATCACTGTTGAGGTGTAAGATTGAAATATGTAGGAAGTTTTCGAAATTTGTACTAATGTTTACTAAATTTGGAACAACTAAATTGTTGGTAAACCGATAAAGTTGAAATCATGAAATTTTGATTTAGGATCACTGTGGGGGTATAGGGTTTGGGTATATTGGAAGTTTTAAAAATTTGTTCTAAGTGTACCAAATTCGGTACAATTTAAATTGTGGGTGAAGCGATAAAGTTTGAATCCTGAAATTTTGATTCAGGATCACTGGGGAGGTGTAGGATTGGAGTATGTAGGAAAATATGGAAATTGGTACTAATGTGTACTAAATTTGGTACAATTTGAATTGTGGGTGCAATCCTGAAATTTTGATTTAGGAACAATGTGGAGGTGTAGGATTGGGGTATGCAGGATGTTTTGGAAATTGGTACTACTGTGTACTAAATTTGGTACAATTTTAATTGTTGGTGAACCGATGGAGTTGGAGTCCTGAAATTTTGATTTAGGATCACCGTAGGATTGATTTAGGGTATGTAGGAAGCTTTGGAAATTGGTACTATTATGTACTAAATTTAGTACAATTTGATTATTATGATTTTATCTAATTCATGATTTTAATTGGATTGCATGATGTAGGTAGTAATGGAAATTTTTACTTATGTGTTCGATAGAATCCTGAAATTTGGAATTAAGATTGGGGTATGTGGGAAGTGTTTGAAACTCGTACTTATGATTTTTAAAGTACTTATGGTTGTTGATGTGCACTAAATGATACTCAATTTGGATTTGGGTGAATCCATATTTGTTTTGAAAACATACTATGGCAGAAAATACGTACAAAATGGTTCTAAAATAGGGTTTTAAATACATCCCACATTCGCTAACGAAGTAGCGGGTATATGCTAGTATTACATTCAGATGTATTGAGTTTTGGGAAAAAGAATCTCGACATTTGTTATTGTCATTATGTGCGACAATAACAAATGTCGAAACTCTTTGGATATTAATCACACATCATCATCATGGTTTAAGTGCAACTTTAAGCTATATTTTTAGCCTTCTTTATTTGCTATTATCTTTGGTTTGTGAATAATTATAAATTTTACTGATATCAGCATCCCTATCTCTGGTTGCATACCATAATAATTGTATTGTACACCAGCGCACTACTTCTGACAACAATTATCTCATTAACGTCTAAATAATTTTTTTACTAATTACTTTCTTCTCGTATGTATGTACGTAGGTTCCAGCCCCCTCCAATATTATTTATTTGCAGTAATTATGATTTTGACTAATTTACCAAATTATCCATTATTAGCAATTATTACTCGTTTTTTATTGATATAGGGAAATGATCTGTTTTATTTAAGTAGTATATAGAATATATTTCAAGTAGCATTTCGAACGAGCGTGTTATTTCACACAATTATCTATTCGAATTGTTTGTGGCATGGTTTTGTAGATACATACGCTCACATGCACGAGTAGATTTACTACACTCTTACATATACTACGTATATACGAAACACGTATGATGCACTTAAACCACCGCAATCGATATATAATACAGACAAAAGTTCTGCTAATATTTTCCATATAGAAAGATTTCTGAGAAATAGCTCGAATGCATTTCTGTGGTTTAGGTTTTTTATTCAGTTTTATGTATTGTATATATAGAGAAATATATAATTTCATTATTATTATTATTTTTTTTTTTTGTCATAACTGAAATTTCCAAATATAATATCGATCCGAACAAAACGAAAAAAACGACTGTACGGACAATATAAATATGTATACATATAATGTATGTCGACTTGTTTTGCCTTTACAAAGAGTACTACATATACGATGGAATACACAGACTGCCTGTGTAATGAAACATTATTGATTTTTCAGAAAACTACGTATGTTTTAAATTGAGCATTTCAGGACCTCCACAAAAGGACAAGAATAAATTGTATATTTGGTACATTAAATCAATCTACATCTCTGTACGAACTCTCTTGGAGCCTTTATAATTTAAGAAAGGCAATAAATCTATATTTCTTCTTTCTCGTTCTGCCACAAAGAATTTTTAAAGAATCAGTTCTTCACAAAAAGAAGATTCTAGCAAAAAGTAGATTCTAGCATTACGGCAACAGACCATATGTTATTAATTTTACCTAGTCAAGCTATTTAGACGAATTCGATACATGTCTTTAGAGTATTTTTTTTAGAATCAATATTTCAACATATCTGATCGATTTTCATATTTTCCTATTTTATAGACACGCATGCAGAGCTTATCCCCAGCCACATCAAAATTAAACATCACAGCAACTTTCCAGAATATGATTAGAAAAGAGGGTATATTCCGGTAAGTATTTCTAAATTTAAAAAAAAAAAAAAATCGAAATCATTTTCATAACTGATTTTATTTGAACAGACCCATAAGAGGCGTTACAGCTGTTGTGGCCGGAGCCGGACCAGCTCATGCTTTATATTTTGGTTCCTATGAAATGTCCAAAGAGCTTATGACCAAAATAACCAAACATAATCACATAAATTATAGTAAGTGTCTCTCCTCCATCCTTAACAATCTCGACAACAGATGACTAATAATTTATGACTTGTGTGTCTTTGGTTATTTTAGTGGCTAGTGGTGTTATTGCCACCCTTATTCATGATGCCGTCTCCAATCCAGCTGAGGTCATAAAACAACGTATGCAGATGTACAATTCACCCTATAAATCAGTTGTGGCCTGTTTGCGTGGTGTCTACCAGAATGAAGGCCTGAAAGCTTTCTACCGATCCTATTCAACTCAATTGGTAATGAATATACCAAATCAGACAATACACTTCACCACATATGAGTTTTTCCAAAATAGGGTGTGTATTATTATAGTCATTTTTCTACCGTTTTAAGTGTTATAATGACAAAATTGTGCGCCTTTGTTTTGCATAGCTAAATCATGAACGGAAATACAATCCACCGGTGCATGTTGTGGCAGGTGGTGCGGCTGGAGCATGTGCGGCGGCAGTTACCACACCATTGGATGTTGTCAAAACGTTGTTGAATACTCAGGAAACGGGCCTAGTGCGGGGAATGATGGAAGCTATTAAACAGGTAAGCTATGGTTGTTTATTCCTGAACACCTGAACTGAAATTTGTTCTGCACGCATACGATAATTGTCTTTATTTCCCTGCTTTTCCAGATCTATACTATGGCTGGTCCACTTGGTTTCTTCAAAGGTTTGACTGCCCGTGTTCTTTATTCAATGCCAGCTACCGCTATCTGTTGGTCCACCTATGAATTTTTCAAATTCTATTTGTGTGGTCTGGATCGCGACCAATATAAATCAACAATAACTGGCAAAAATGCATTGCAACCGCGTAAAATTTCCAACACAGACGAAGCACAACTTCTGCACAATGCCTATGTTTTACCAGTATCTGAGACGACAGAAGAAACGAAATCTCCCAAAGAAACAGCCCCTCAAACCACACCACCTTCACTACCAGCTGGTCCCATTAAAACGGTGTGCGAATTGTCGACGGCTGTGGCAGCACCGACCCTCAATTTGACCACCAGACACACCGATGTGAAAAGTCCCTTCGACAGAGGATTCTCGAGTACATAAAGATCACACTGAAATGGTACATAAAAAACTACACAAAAAATATCCCTACAACGTACTATCGAGCGCCACTTGTTAAATCACGCCAACGACAACACCATACACACACCCACACATACAGTAGTCCCACAGAACGTGTCGCTCAGCGTTGAATGGTGTCTCGCCTGTGAGTTCCGGCAGCACCTAGAAACGCTTTTACAAAAAATGTTGCCGGTGCGCGCTCATCCCCCCTTATGAAAGAGACGATATAATTGTACGCCGTGCTAATACAATAATTGCTCGTGAGACGACGAATGCTGAGAAATCGGAGCAAACAATATGTTTCTAAAATTGGTTATTATACATACGTTACACAAAAAGTTACGTCAACCCCAAAACCAAAGTACAAAACCTAGTTTTGTCCTTCGCAAATTATTTGTTTGCCATTACCCTCTCAACTCCTGCGTAACAGTCAAGTCATAACAAAAGAACTGAAGATGGTTTTCTTTTTTTCAAAATGTATGCTCGAGCCATGGTTGAAAACTACTTTCATGTAAAATATATATATTATATAAATTGAAACAACAATGCCCTGTAATCGTTATTATTATTATTACAATTACTATTATTATTTTTAAAACTCAACTATATATATGTATGTTATATATTAAAAGAAAACAAAAAACTAGAAATAAACAAGAAAACAAACAATAATTAAAAAGAGAGAGAAAAACTCAATTTGTAATAAAATTACAGAAAGAAAATGAAAAGAAATAAGCAAATGTAGCAATCCAGTATATATATATTTGTTCTGAACAATGTTAAAAATTATATGAAAATTTGTTTAATTTCCTTCCCTTCATTAATGTAAATAACAACATTAAAGTACTTTCGAGGTTATGTTTCAAGTTCAAATATGGATTTGGTGTGCTGAAACTCCTCCGAAGCTCAACCGGTACTATTAAACATAGCCATGGAATTCAAGATGACCTTATACACATATTGTTTACACCCTAAAGGAATTGTTTACGTTCTCCTTTTTTATATTACATAAGTATTGTTTATATATAACTTTTTTTGTTTCTTTATTGAAAATGAATGAATCATCAACGGCGCTATAGTTACGAAAATATAAAGCTGTTTGAATAAATCCGTATATTTAAGTTTAATTTACCTTTTATCCCTAAAGACATATGTAATATATGTGTTTTAAATATAAGCTCAGAATAGTTTTTTTTTGAGAACTTTGCGGTTATTTATTAATTGAAGTAATGTTTTAGTTTTTTATTTTTAATTTTGTTATTTTTTCATTTATTATTATACGATTTCATTTTGTGAAATTTAACATACTCTTAAAATTTGCTAAATAAAAAATTATCAGTAGTGCTATTAATACAAAAAAAAAATATAGCATAAAAAAGTTTAAATAATTAAGAAAAAATTTGAAATTTGGAAATTCAAAAAATTGTTATCATGATACACGACACAGACACTCATACCACTATGAAGAAATAGAACAAAACAAGAAAAACAATCTGATACTTGTAAAATAAACACACTTATTAAAAACAAAAAAACGAAAACAAAACAAAAATAAAATTGTTTTTATGTCAATTACTAATAAAGAAAGCTATCCCAGTTGTTTTCATTATATATTCTCTACATGCGTACATTTCGAATGTCAATTAAATCAATATGACCCAATAGAAAAACTGTTGGTCAGGGTATTACCCAAGTTTTACATATTAGATGTAACAACGCGTATCCGAGATGTTTCTACATAAAAAGTTAGTTTTAATTGTATAGTTCAGCCAAAGCGATGTAAATTTTTATTGCTTTGTTGATAATTTTTGTTTTATTTTCACAAAAGAGAATCAATACATATTTAATTTTTTATTTCAAATTGCGATATCTATCGTAGATATATACCCACCTTTGAAAACCTCGAATTTATTGTTAAAAATCACGAACGACAAGCTTCCGACACAAATGCTGGTGTATCCATGCCAATGCTACGATCTATGAATAGATAATTATGTAGTTTCAAATTGTAGTATACAATTATTCACCCCTATTATAAAAATTTTGCAAATTATTGTAAATGTGAATTCCCGTAACATTATTTTTGGAAAAGAGAATTAACACATTCCAATTCCACAAAATTTTTATAATATGGGTGATTATTTCAAAACCCCACTGTTGGGATGTTTTCAAATGCGCAAAATAAAAATTAAACAAACAAAAAAACGTTCAGGTGTTTATTAAAAATATAAAATAATTGTAGAAAAAAAAAAACATTTTAATTGAAAAAAAAATATTTGAATACTAAAATATAAATTAAAGGCAAAAACTAAACAAACAAAAAGATAATTACATAACAGAATCCATCCCTCTACGTCTAGACCGCTGACCCAATATTGGACGTGGCTTATATAAATCATCGCTAGTGTAACGTTGCTGCTGCGACAGTTTTTCCACCGCCGCCTTGTGGCGATCCAGTTTCTTAGAAAGAGCTGAGGGGGACAAAACAGATTATTTCCATTTAATTAGTTGTTCGCAGTATAAATGCATGGAAGTGGATATGATGTGATGATACCACTAATATTTGTTTGTATGTCTGGTACGTAAGAAACTATTCGTTAATAATTCAATAATTCTAAATATGTATGGACGAACTGTGGAATGTGAGAATAATTATTTAAACGAAATGGGCCATTTTCCACGTTAAGAATAGCAAAAGAAAAAATATTTAATACATAGCCTAAAGGGCCCCATACACTATACATCATGCCGTACAGCATTTATCATAGTATGTGTTATTTTTTGAAAGTTTATTTATGTATGTGTGACACACACAACGCATGAAGAAAATCAAACAAGTTTTGATTTTGAAAATGAACCCCTATCAATCTGGTAAATAATATTCATTTTGAAAGTTGTCAGTAAATAATTTTGTGTACAAAAATAATAAATTTGTGACGGAATAAAAAACAACTGAATTTACGACTCAAAATGCAATTTTTGGGACAAAAATCGATTATTTGGAATAGTGATTGAAGAGTTTGCCAAACACTAGTCAGTCTCACATATACCAAAAAGGGGTTCATCGGCATGACGGCATGATTTAAGAACCCCATACACTATAAATCATGCCGTCATGCCGATGAACCCCTTTTTGTATATGTGAGATTGACTAGTGTATGGCAAACTTTTCAATCACTATTCCAAAAAATCGATTTTTGTCCCAAAAATTGCATTTTAAGGGCCCCATACACTATAAATCATGCCGTCATGCCGATGAACCCCTTTTTGTATATGTGAGATTGACTAGTGTATGGCCAACTCTTCAATCACTATTCCAAAAAACCGATTTTTGTCCCAAAAATTGCATTTTGAGCCGTAAATTCAGTTGTTTTTTTATTCCGTCACAATTCTATTATTTTTGTACAAAAAAAATAATTTACTGACAACTTTGAAAATGAATATTATTCACCAGATTGATAGGGGTTCATTTTCAAAATCAAAACTATTTTGATTTTCTTCATGCATTGTGTGTATCACACATACATGAATAAACTTTCAAAAAATAACACATACTATGATAAATGTTGTACGGCATGATGTATAACCTATATTTTCAAGAGTGCACGACATTGGATTTGTAATCTATGTTCATCATGTTGTTCAAAGCAAAGATAACTGTTTGCCACTTAGTTTGAATGCATTCAGCGGCTCCATAAAGTTTGCAAAAATGTTATAGAAGATATTGACGATCGGCGTGGTTTCTGTTCTTTAATTGTCAATCCGTGTGAATATAGCAACATTTTATGAGTAAAATTTGTAGTAATATTTATCTATCAATTTGAATTTAGTTTGTCTTAAGGATTTTGAATCGTTGAAAAAATTAAAAATTTGAAAATGAATGATGGTGCCTGCACCACAAATTATTCGTTTCTATAATCTACAAATTATAAATTAACCATGTCAAAATAATGGGTGCGAATTAAAATTAAAAAAAAAACATAAAAAAACTTTGCACTACACAAAACAATTTGGTAATGGTGTGCGTGTGTATGTTTTTACATACCAGAATTTTTGTCTATTTCTTCATTCTCTTTGGAGCTAACACTGAGATCGGATGGCGTTGGCGATGTTTTCAAGGAATTTTCTTCGTTCTTTTCTGTTGGGCAACGCTTTTGCGGAGTTCGCTCATAATCTTCATAATTGATAGTGGATTTACGTTTCAGGGAAGATCTTATTGAGCTAATCGATGATCTGGCTCGGTTGTGATTGTAATCATCTTCACTGGACAACTCAATTCCTTCGTCAACGGGAGAGTCGAAACGCAAATAATTAACGGCTTTACGGCACAAATCCATGGTATCGTTAAGCGTATTTATTCGCTGTCTTAAGGATTCCTGCAAGTCCACATCAAAATATAAAAGATCCGCGCTTTTATTTTCTTCGCTTTCGGCTACTGGTAATTTTTTGTCCGTGGGATTTGTCGGGACTTCTATTAAGTGACCTCGAGTGTCCAGGTGAATGCATTGGGTCTCTGGATTTTGCAACAAATCATTAAGTATTACCACATTATTATTTGGTTTTGGATGTTCGGTGACATCTGTTTGTTGGGTGTCTGCAATGACAGAAGTAACAAATTAACATTACGTAACTAATTATGATTTATTGCTTACCATGTTCTTTGGATGGTGTTGAATTGCTTGTATCGTTGGAATATTTGGATTTTGACTTGGAACTACTTGCACTCGAAGGTTTTTGATGGTGAGTTGATTTTCCTCCACCACCGGTGCTATTGCCCCCTTTATCACCATCCTCATCATTCGAATCGGTAGATTTCCTTCTTTGTGACTTATGTTTAGCCTCATAGTGATCATCGTCGTTGCGACGACTAGTTTTTGCCATTGTCGACGATGTGTTAGAGGACGATGATGAATGATCCTTATGCGAAGACGGCAAAGAATGTCGCTTGTCCGAGGAAGATGAATATTTACCATGCCTGGACGACAAATGTGATCTTTCCACATCCTTTTCGGACGTCGATTTATTATGGGACGATGAAGAATAATGCCTGTTTGAAGACGAGGACGATGAATGTTTACTACTACTACCCCTGTGGCTGCTGCTATTGCTACTATGGTGTCGATCTTTTCCTTCCTTACTAGAACGATACCGATCTTTATCCTTCTCTCTGTCGTGGGACCGACGACGTTCTTTTGAATGTTTTTTATGTTTAGATGAAGATGAAGAGTGTCGAGATGAGTGCTCTCTGTCTGTTCTGTGGGTTGATATAGGTGATGGCGTTGCCGCTGACAGTTGTGATGTGGGAGGAGTAGGAGTAGGCGTAGCATTTGGGGTGGCTGTTGGGGTAGCAGTGGGCGTTGGTGTTGATGGTATTTTGGGAGTTGCGATTTTAGGTGACTTATCTTCAATACTAACTTCCTTATATTTCTCCTCCACTTGCGTTGCTTGCGTCGTGTTGTTTGTTGGAATAGATGCCGAGTCATCAATACTTGATCCAAAGCTTGATTCCTGGCCATTGGGTGTTCGTTCCATGTCATCTTCCCTCTGTTCTGCTATCGAACTAGAATTTACCGAGAACTTAAACATATCATTCTTGTTATCTGGCAATGGGGTGACCGGTGGCAAGTCGCATTTTATGTCATCATTCAACGGCGATACCTGAGAATCATCCATTTTCTTTCGTTCAGTGCCTTCGAATTTTATTTCATCTTTTTTTATATCGAAATGTAGTTCGGAATCCAATTCTTTGCGACCATTTGTAAAGCTGGGTTCACTAGAGTTCTCATTGAATTTTGGCATTTGTGCCTCTTCGGATATGTTTGCTGTTACAGCTTCCTCTTGTGACGTTCGCGGTGGCCCAGAATCATCCTTAATTTCTGGAGTCAAACGAGTGTCACTGGAAACACTAGACAATTGCGAGTCTTGTGAATTTCTACAATCCATAGATTGACTGTTGTTATCCTTGTCCAAGTTAGTTGGATTAAAATTGTTCGAACTCTGACTTTCGCCCGATTCTTTGGCCTCAGTTTTAATGTTCACACTACTTGCGTCTTCATACTTCTTTATATTGGTTTCAGACTCTTCTGCCGCTGTCTTTAACGTATTCGGTTCTTGTTTTACCTCTGTAGTTTCGTTTTTCACCAACGGCTCAAAGGGAGGTGACTCATCATCATCTATGATTTTATCTTCAGTGTCCATATCAACTTCGGTCTTATCGTCGCCTTCAATCTCAGATTTGACCGTTGCCTTATCTGAATCAGGGCTTACCTGTTCCAAATCATTCGGCAGCAAACTACAAGTTTCGACTTTCAATGGTGGCGGTGGGGCAGTTAAAGGTAATGGTGGTAGAGGATGCATTAACGGGGGAGGAGGAGGTTCAAAAACTTTTGGTGGTGGTGGCAAGCCCAAATATTTATAGGCTATCTCTTCAATTCGGGGTTGAAAAACACTTCCAATCTTCGGATTTACAACCTGGTCAACAATTCTCTCTACACCCACATCTAGAAATCCGGATCTGAAATCACAATTTCAATTAATACAGTAAGCATAGTTATTTTGTAAATTTGACTTACTCGGCAATGTGACGTCGTAGCTTCTCCCTTAACTGATTCTTGTTCGTTTCTGGAGTCCATGTTTGTTCGGATAGAAACTTTTTTACGGATTTTTCAACTCGTTGCCTTAGATTTTGGTATGCTGGTTTTGTGTCAACATCGGCCATAGAATCCTTGCGAAACTCGTCAAATACTCCCTGGGATTTCACCTCGTGCACAATTTTTTCCACGAGAGAAACGTCCATTTCGATCATCCAATTTATTCCTGTATGGATACAGTGGACACAATGGTTATAGCTTGGCTTGTGCACTGTCAAAACAATTGCGACATGCTTTGAAACATGCCGTACCACAGTGAAATAGCTTAAATCACAAAATGACAAAATACGCTATCGTATAACGTTTCAAACTCGTTGGTGCATAAGACTCGAAATTTTGTTTATAATATAAAATACAAATTGTTAATTTTGAAGTAACCAATATTGTATTTCAATGCAATGATTCAATAAATACGCCTTTCACAAATTGGCTTGAGATATGGACATAACTCACTTTCCGACTTTATGGAAACGTAAACAAAGAGTTTCTTAATTTGGACGTAAGTCCGATGGTAGGCACCTGCTGATTAAATTATTTTTTCTAATGATCCGTTTACACATATGTTAATGAACATGTTATGCTACATTTACCTCGAATGTATTACAGTGAAAATCATTTAAGTGATAAAAAGCAATGACAGGAAAAAGTTTATTCTATACTTAACGGTATCTTTCCGCACTCAAATTTTTAAATTTATACAGGGTGCATCGAACAGAACAGATCATAATATATATATATATATATATACAAATAGCCTTAACGTGTACAATAAGTTAAAATATATTGAAAGGACTTCGCACAATAGTCGCGTTACTCGTTTTTTATGGCAACGTACAGTAATATCAAGCGTTGGTGTTATCGTTGCATTGTGATTGTTATTTTTTCGATAACACATAACGCGACGGATGGCTCAACGGATCTATTCTGAGTATTCCAAGATCTATTAATAAGGTCACCAAGATAGCAATCGAAATCGGAAAACAGCTGTTTTTTTCTCAAGTCTAATGTCAAAAATTTCGACTTTGTTTACGTTTTCATAATGGAAGTCAATTCACAATAATGCATTTTGACTGTAAACTCATAACGCATAACGCGACGGATGGATCAACGGATCTATTCTGAGTATTCCAAGATCTATTAATAAGGTCACCAAGATAGCAATCGAAATCGGAAAACAGCTGTTTTTTCTCAAGTCTAATGTCAAAAATTTCGACTTTGTTTACGTTTTCATAATGGAAGTCAATTCACAATAATGCATTTTGACTGTAAACTTGAGAGGTATCGATAATCAGCTGGTCTCCCTTGGTGACCTTATTTATAGGCCATGGAGTATTCCTTAATCGGTGTATACACTAGCATTTTTGAATGGCACTCTTGCCCAAATTTTGCTTGTTTGATTGTGTGGCCTCACATGTTTGTCATTCATCACACACAACCACAAAAATATTTATGGTTGTTGGACAGTCAGTAATCGATAAAAAAGGTGACAGTCAAAAATGATACAACAACCACAAGGAAACGATAACACAAACTTATATCGTTTCCATGTTGTTGTTGTATTTTCGATAACATATAACGCGACGGATGGCTCAACGCTAGCATTCTGCTTAGCCGTTTATCGTTTCATTGTGATTTTCGAAAACACATAACACGACGGTTGGCTCAACGCGAACATTCTGCTTAGCCCTTGAGGATACCAATTTGGGCGAGTATACTATCCAAGATCTATTAATAAGGTCACCAAGATAGCAATCGAAATCGGAAAACAGCTGTTTTTTCTCAAGTCTAATGTCAAAAATTTCGACTTTGTTTACGTTTTCATAATGGAAGTCAATTCACAATAATGCATTTTGACAGCAAACTTGAGAGGTATCGATTATCAGCTGGTGACCTTATTTATAGGCCATGATACTATCATTTTGGACTGTCAGTTTCTTTATCGATTACTGACTGTCACAAGCAATCGATTATTGAAATCCTAGTCGATTAATCAAGCGTCGACTTGTATATCCCTAAGCCGAAACCCCGATGAACGTTTGTTGTCGGCTTCTTTCTCTGTTTTTGGCGCAAACAACACATATTTTTTACTAACGAGATTGAGTGGCGTTGAACGCAGGAGATATTTTCTGGATTTATTCGTAAACTATTTTGTAATTTATATAGTTTTCCGCAATTGTCGTATGTGTTGTTCTATGTGATTTCGAGCACAGAGCGTGTAGAGCACAGTGAAAAGTGTAAATATTACTTATTAACGAATCAATCAATCTGTAAATGGTGAATGTGAAAGCACGCCATAAGAAAAACCCGTAAAACATAACAAAGCTGAAATGGAAAGCGATGGTGAAAATGCTGTTGTGAAAGGGCGGTCAATGAGACGAAGCAAAATTGGCCAACAGAATGAAAGGAGTACCAATGAGGAAAATATTGATGGCACCTCGGGCATCGATGGCACGACAACGGAAAACAATTCCATGGATGTCGATATAAATGCGAAGGCCAGAGCCGTTCTCGACAACAGACAGTTATCAAGCACCCCAAATTCGTCGACACCAAGAAGTGTGTTTTTTCCCTATATGGATTTTGACAAAAGTTATTAGATTTTATTATATTTTTTGTTTTGTATTTATAGGAAGGAAGGACCCTTTGGCAAACCTTCATTCTAATCTCAGTCCAAAATATATTGGCTTTGTTGCCACGACCTCTAATTTGGATAACAACACCGAAGATAGAAGCCGGAAAACGAGAAGGCGTCACAATCAAAGCAACAACGGTCAAGATTTATCTTTATCGAAGGACACGCCCGATATGGATGATGACATTAGTGGCGGTAAATTGTTTGGTGTGCATGATACATCGGTAGGATATGTGCGAAGAATAACAAGAGAACCCACCAATTCGCCAGAAAATAGAAATGGCCGGAGAAAAGAGTTTGTCAGTCCTATTGACAAATTGTTAAGAAAAAATAGGTCTATGGTAGAAGCTGATAAACTCGTTGGAGATGATCCATGGGCTGAAAAAGAAAAACTGCTTAAGAATCATTCGTTTCCAGATGAAAAACACATTTTTCGCGATGAAATATTTGTGAATAACAATCACAATCATGTGTATGACAAAAATGAGGCTGATGCTAACAATGAATGTGGAAAAGGTATGAAAAAACACCAAAATGAATATCACACAGATGGCAATGCCAATGGCTATAATTCGGGCCAACTAAGTGAATCTGAAAAAGATATGTCTAGTGAAAATGAAAACAATTCTCAGGGAAATTCAGACAGTCAAGGCAAGAACAATGATACCAAAACTGAAATATATAACTCGGATGCAGTTGATACACCAAGCCCTGTAAAATTGGTCAAATCTACAGATTCTATACGTAGAAAGGACAGGGACAAAAGTATAGATACAGCCAATGACAAATTGTCTGAGAATGGCGAAGAAAAACAATCTGAATGTGAAAATGCCTTTGACGAGGAAATTGATGAACGTTGCCCTAAAATTTCAAATGATAATTTGGTTAAACAAAATCTAATGGAAACCAAATGCAACGATATTGATGAGAATGCAAACGAAAAGCATATGGCAACAACCCCAACACCTGAACAAGATGCTTCTAATACAATTGAAGTAGGTAATACAACAGAAGGGCATGATGATGATGCGATTGCTGAAAATGAATACAAATCCGAAGATGCTAGAGACATGGTGGATGGAGTCGGGGAGGTGGATGCTAACACCGACTTTGTCCATACCTCATCAGCCAAATCACCATCCACGATTAGCATGGACAGTGCCAAGGGCTCGTCAATATTGAACGAAGGAACATGGATGTCATTTTCTACTGGCGACCTATTCTGGGGACAAATATATAACTATTGCTATTGGCCCTGTATGGTTTGTCCTGACCCTGAAGGCAAAACGATAACTGCAAAAGAAAACGTGACCTCTAGCGATCAACATGTACTGGTGCATGTTCGCTTTTTTGCTGACAACGCTCGTCGAAATTGGGTAAAAAGAGAAAACCTTATGCCGTTCACCACTCTGGAACAGTATCAGGAACGTTTAGATGACTGTCGCCAGAAGTATGGAACCAAAAGTGCAAAGTTTAAGCAGTTTGTGCCCAAAAAGAATAAAGTGGCAGTTTGGTATGAAGCGGTGAATGAGGCAAATATGGTAGCAGCCGTACCATATGAAGATCGTTTGGAGAAGTTTTATGAAATATTTGATAAATCTAAGTAAGTACCAATATTAAAATATTTTATACTCCAAAGATTTGGAAAAGCTCTTAACTAATGTTATACAAAATTCCTTCATGTAATTATCAACATTTTAAATTTGTTGTTACAGATTATCGCAAAAAAATAAACAACAACGTCGAAAATCCATGTACATACCGGCATCTAAAAATTTAACTGCATCGGATGCGGAAAGTTTATATGGATCACATGAGAATATTAACAATTTATCGGCTCCAGTCACTGCAGGCAAACGTGAGCGGTCGACTTCGCCATTTAGTCCGGCATATTCTCCCATTAAGCATTTATCTGTGAAAAAACGTAAATTAAGTGCAGACCTAGCAGTGTCAACGGATACCGAAACTATTAGCAGTAGTGACACAATTGAAATATCGAGTGGTGACCAAAAAATGTCTAATAACGATCAACAGTCGGTTGCGAGAAAATCTTTGGATGATTTTAATCTTTTTCATAGTAAAGCCTTTCAAGATTTCTATGTGGCTATGAAGGATTTTGTACTACAAGACAATACTGATGAGAACTTGGACAAAAGCTTACTGGTAGCTGTGCGTAACATTTGGGCACTTAAGCAGTTAAGTCACCAACAAATGCAATGCAAACTAAGCCTTACGACTAACGAATTGGATACGAGTACAAATAATGCTCACGATACCGAGCCCGGAGGTGTTAAACGCCTTTCGAGTCGTTTGCGAACACTTATGATGCGAAAGTCTATGCTCTCGCAGCGTTCGTCCATTGATTTGACCAATGAAACCCAGACGGTTGCAAAAGTATCGCAGCCGAAGGATACCTTGATCGAAAAACCCAAGAAAATGGTTAATCGTCCAATTTTAGAGGTCATAGATGATATTTTCGAACTGGATAACAAATATCTGTTCAAAGGCTTGGGTCGAGATCCTGTGTGCAAGTACTGCTTCAAACCCGGTGGAAGTTTGAGACGGTGTACTGGCCGATGCCATGGCTGGCTACACCCTGAATGCCTGCACATAAATTTCTCAGAAAACGGCAAAGTTAGGAAATGGCACAAGCGCGGCATTTCCGCAATAAAATCAGTGAACGATTCTAACCTTGAAGCTAGCAAAAGTAACAGCTCTTCCACTACTGATTTAGCCTCTATCGAGCCGAGTCCCGAATCATCTAGCGCGGTTCCTCACATAACTGCTGAAACTGAAGTTGAAGTGACATGCCGAGAGTGTGCCAATAATGAGCCCACGAAATGTATGGTGTGTAAGCTGACGGACTCCGCTAAAGTAGATGATCCGCTAGTCAAATGTACAATGGGTCAGTGTGATCGGGCGTTCCATCCCGCCTGTTGCAAATATTGGCCCCAATCCAAAATAACCATATCGAAAAATCGAATACAATCGTTCCGCTGTCCTTCGCACGTTTGTCACACCTGCGTGTCAGATGATCCCAAAGGAAAATTCCAACAATTAAGCAACGCCAAAATTACCAAATGTGTCAAATGTCCCGCCACTTATCACACAGATTCCACATGTATTCCGGCAGGATCACAAATTCTAACTGCGGCCCATATAATATGTCCACGACATTCCAGCACGAAGCATGACCAGACTCTTAATGTGAATTGGTGTTTTATTTGCGTTCGTGGAGGCCAGGTGGTATGTTGCGAGACGTGTCCCACTGCAGTACACGCCCAATGCCTAAAAATTCCCATCGATCCCAACGAGGGCTACATATGTGAAGAATGTGAGTCAGGACGAATGCCCCTCTATGGCGAAATGGTGTGGGCCAAGTTCACCCATTTCCGATGGTGGCCTGCTATTATCTTACCCCCAACTGAGATACCTACAAACATAGCGAAAAAGAATCACAATCCATCTGATTTTGTTGTTAGATTCTTTGGCACCCATGATCATGGTTGGATTTCTAGACGGAGGGTATATCTGTATTTGGAGGGAGACTCGTCGGAACCGCCCAAAACGAAAGCAGGTATTTTGTAAACATAACATCGCAGATCAATATTTTGCTCACTATCTCCACAACCCTTTATTTCAGCAATCGATAAGTACTATAATGAAGGAATAGTAGAAGCCAAAAAAATCTATGAAATTGTAAAAGCCAAAAAGCAACAACAACGTATGTCGAATGAAAATAAAGAGCGGTTGCACCCTCAACCTTACACACGAATTAAAGCGAATCGTCCCGTTCCACCAGTTAAACTTCACATTGATATCGAAAGTGTAAGTAAATGCGAATGTGATCCCAACGAAGAGAATCCGTGTGGTCCGGAAAGCAATTGTCTTAATAGGGTCTTGTATCACGAATGCAATCCTAAAGTGTGTCCGGCAGGAGAACGTTGTCAAAATCAAATGTTTGAGACTCGAAAGTCCCCGCAATTGGATGTAATTTACATGAAGGAACGTGGTTTTGGTCTCATAACCCGCGAACCAATCAAATCCGGCACTTTTGTTATCGAATATGTGGGAGAAGTAATCAACGACGATGAGTTTCGGGCGCGAATGGCTCAGAAGTCATTGGATCGCGACGAGAATTTCTACTTTCTGTCCGTGGAGAAGGATTATATTATCGATGCTGGACCTAAGGGTAATTTGGCTCGTTTCATGAATCACTCTTGCGATCCCAACTGTGAGACACAAAAGTGGTCAGTGAATTCCTTAAATCGGGTAGGCTTATTTGCCATCAAAGATATACCAGAGGTAAGACGATAAATGTGTTTCAGAGAAGAAAGTCTTCTACTATAACAACGTGCTTTGTGAATCTAAACAGAATACTGAATTGACATTCAACTACCATTGGGATGATTTGCTGGGCAACGAAAAGAAGACTTGTTATTGTGGTTCCAAAAATTGCGTGGGTCAGATTGGAGGCAAGAAAAAGGATATGGATAACAAGGTACTTTCAGTAAATCATTTACATGATGTATATATATATATATATACGATTGATCAATTTCCTTTCCAGGAAACGTCGCCCAGTTCCGATGATCCCAAACCTAAAAGTACAAAGGGGAGGAAGAAATCAAAGGTGAAGCCATTGAAGAAGGGACTACATGCAAAACCAGTAGGCGTAGTAAAACGTAAACCCGCAACGAAGTTGAAAATTAATGCGTCGACCAAGTACAAATCGAATAAGATGGCAGCAGCAGCGGCTGTTGCAGCCACATTGAGTAAAAAACAATTGAGTCCAGGCGAAAATAACATCACAGCCGACAACGAGGAAGAGGAGGCAGTCAGCAATATTTATACAAAGACCGATGTCGATATGTCTTAATTGTGCTATTTTTGAAATTGTGTAAATGTTGATATGTATACAAATTTTATTTTATTCATTTATACTGTTTGCTCCATTATATATTAAACAGCTACTATTACATTAGATAGATATGTGATTTTGGTTTTTTTAGTTGATCACCCCCCAACACTTGTTATCCCCACTTCTGTTTCAATTCGTATACTGAAGTCATTATTATTTTTTTTATATTCTCCTTTAATGCATTTATTTTTGTTACAGTTTTTTTTTCCAAGGTTTGTTATCATTTTTTTACAAAGTCCATTGTACTATTTTGAAATTAGGATTTACACGATTTTTATTATTAGTTTAACCAAAATACAAAGACAGTAATTCAAGTTAATTTTCCCATCATCTGCCTGAACACATGCATATTTATTTTATTTTTTACATTCGTTAAGCTTAAATATATTTCTAGGTATGAGAGGACATTTATTGTGTATTGTTAATAAAAAAAGGTTCCTATTGAGGGATTTATTATGTGTCAAAAGGAACATTACCGAAATGGTTTGTTTCTGTCGAAATTCGGATTGATGAACATTTTTTGCAAAAATAAACCTATTTTTATAATAAAATTGTGTCGATGGATGTATTTATTTTAAAATAGAGATTCTTACTTTAAATATTTGGTTTAAAAACATACGTATTTAATGATCAAAATAGAAATTTAAAGAATGTATCACTTTACCATGATGTTACGAGATATTCGCTGAAATGCCGATGTTGGCCGCCAAATGTATTATTTGCTTTCACCGTACCTGAACCAATCATAAAGCAATTGTATTTACCTGTATTACAATCATTTTAAATACAACATACAATACCATACCTTTAATCATGTTTCACTAATGCGAATTTGAATATACATACCTGTCTTCGTTTTATAGAAATAAGAACAGTTATTCGATATGTTTATGGATTTATTTCAGGGTTTCTTTCGCAAACATATGTATGTATCTGAAATATTTGGATTTTTTTTATTATTATTTCATAATATACATTTATTGCAAACAAAATGCAATATAAAATAAATAAAATGTTTCAGTCAAAGTTTTATAAATGTTTTATGGACTCCAATAAATAACATTTACAATGTTCGGTACGAATTTATTGACATTCTCCGATAATAATATAGCGCTGATAGGACTTTGGCATTCACGGATTGATTTTGAATCGCTTACAAATATACACCTTATAGCTAAAGTAGCGCATTGTTTTACAAACAAAGCTCCACAACTTATAGTAGGAAAATGTATGTCAAAATGAGAGTTGTCATTTTCTACGAGATGTAAACAATGTGAAATTTACAAAAAAGTATGTTTTCTAAAAGTTATATTTAAAATGTATTTCTCGAAAAGGTTAAAAATAACCGTTATTGTAAAGTGGCACGACATTGGACATTCGTTGGACTATGTTTTTTAAAGATTCACGACTTGCTTCGTAGGGTGTCCGCAAAGCCAATAGCCGCAGACCACTTTGGTTAGTTATCTCAATGACGAACCATTTCTCAAGGACTTTTAAACAGTTTCGCACTGAATCAGTGGATATACTTTCAGCTGGAAGAGACAGACACAGAACATTAATTTTAAAATGTATGCTTCAACCAAGCGAGTTAGCAGTACTTACAATAGGGGCAATGATTTTTGTTCACTCTGTCTTGTAATTCCTTCATTACGAATTTTATAAATTCACTTTCGAGTATAGAGTTCTTATACAAAATAAACAGTGAGTCGGCAACAATGTAGTATGTCTGAGCAAATGGGGCTAGAACTTCACAAATTGCCTTCTGTTGATTTATTGTATCGCGAACTAGGAAAATATCTGGCTCCTCCGTTTGCTCCAAATTCTCAAAATCGTTAGGCACATCATCATCTTCATCCATATCATTATTTTCTATATAGGAAGCTATGGCTCTAGCCATTCGTACTGTTTCCATGGGGGCATCATTTTGATTGTCGGACTAAAATCATATCAACAATAAGCATTATCCCGAAACGTATATATATATATATATATATTTCACAAAATGTTTCTATGTTGGGTATGTACCAATAGACTTGTTTTTGTATATTAGGTATTTAAATTCGCTTAGAATTTCAGCATATTACTGTTGGCATTATACGATAATGCATATGAAAAGTTTATGTGCAAACAAAGTTCTTGAAGTAATTGTAAACAATTCGTAATTTGTTTATATATGTTTATACAAATTGCCGGCTATTGGTACACCCTCTTTTAAAATAAACAATTATTTACGAACCTGTGCAGTCTTAATAAAACCTTGCATTATCAGTTCATCTAATGCTAGCTCCAACATGTTGGCCAGAACTTGAGTGGGCTTATTGAGTATATATTCGTATCTATAGACTTCACAGTTCTCTAAAGCGGTTTCGATTAGCTTTTTCCGGGAAACACCAGGCTGCTGCTTTTCACTCAATTGGTCTGAGGACGGCAGTAATTTGTGGAACGTAGTCAATACTATCGATTGCAAAGCAAAGTGCGGTGTTATCGTATTGGAGTAATATGCCAATTCAATCCAACTTTCTACTGTCCCCTTCGGTCTTATAATTGTATAGCCATTGTCGTCTTTTGATCGAACAACTAAATTTTCTCCCAACAGGTCCGCGGCATAATTAATAATATGCAAAGATTCACCAGAAAATCCAATATCTTTTCGACCCTTCAGCGTTGTCCGCAGCTCGTCTAAACCATTTGCGATTTCGCTGTCTGTTGCACCATTGCGATATCGCGTGAGCAACAAGAAAGCTAACGCATTAGTGGACATGACAGATGTAGCTACTGCACAATCGTAGACAACTTGTCGTGATATGCTATCGATGAGATTGCGATGTTCCTCACATACAACATCTGTACCGTATAGGGATGAGGTGGATTGATTGTGTTGCAAGGTACGAGCTGAGGGTTTATAGATCCTCATGGAACCATCTTCTTTGGCGATTTTGTTGTACGATTGTACCAATTCCTTGATCGAATAAGGTTCGTTGAAATCAATTCGCATAAGTCCATATTTGGAATTTAAGGCCTAAAAATAGAAGAAAATACGTTAGAATGGTTGTGATGCAAAAATATATTTTTAATGATAATCGTTTTTTAATTTACCTTCCATATGCCTGATATTGCCTTTCCAAAACTCTCTGGGACTTTTTTCTCTCCTTTTTGTTCACGAACAAAATTTCCATCAACGAGTTTTTCATAGTTGACCGACACTGGGACAATAAGAGCGTCTGGTATACTTCCGTCCATAAATGCATTAACAATCACCGACAGAATTCCGCCTTTGGGAAGACACGGTTTTCCAGTTCGAGTACGACCTCCTTCAATGAAGAACTCCACGTTGTGGCCCATTTTTAGAGCGTGTTGCAGATACAAATGCAGTATAGCACGGTACAGTATATCTTTCTTTCCTACCACAGGATCGATTTTTCGCTTAATGAAAAAGGCTCCCAGGCCCCGAAGCAGTTCACCAAAAACAGGAATCTGTAAATTATTACCAGCTGCCACCAAAGGGCTTTTAATATCGTTGTTGTACAAAATGAACGTAACCATAATATAATCTAAATGGCTTCGATGCAACGGCAAGAATATAAGAGGTATGCCCGGAGCCTTTTCCGTGGCTGCTTTCAACATTTCAATCTGCTGAGTATGTGTGACCACACCACTCAGAAAGCAAGGCAACAGCTTGTACAATATCCATGAAGTTAGGGCGAGCAGAAAATTGTTGAGAGTGGAACGCATGTCTTTGAGTATATTGATGGCACGGCGTTCTTGCTTGTTTAGAAACTGCTGATAATCGGCCATGGACTCCTCTAAATAGCTATCTTTGTTTTCACTATTTCTATTGAGATCTTCATTAGAATTCCCCGAGTTCGACTGTTTTTCCTTAAGCATTTGTTCGGCTGCTTGTTTAATGGCTCTTTGGAGAACCGGATCATTTTGTACTAGATTGGACACCTGCAAGGACGACAACAATACAGACAAATTGTATGGACAACCGCGTATACAAACAAATCATTACCTGAGGATAGGAAAACTGTTTACTGCGTGTCGTCTGAGCGATGTACGGGAAGTAGACACCCCAATCGAATATTGAGTTGTATGGCTTTCGACCAGCATGCGGAGTCATGTCCAACATATTCTGGGTACCAATGCCATGAGCCAGTGCATTTTCCCGTTTCGGTTCCTAAAGACAGAGAAACGTTCATTAAACGACAATTGGTTGTGATGTAATAACAGGCCAAAACATCTATAATTAATGCCAATAATTTGGAGGAAATATATACATGACAACCTATCTACATATGTTTGTCGGTTTGTATGCACCCACCTCAAACCAACCACGCGTTCTAATAACAAATTCACTCATCTTGTTGTTGCAAATGTAATCTCAGTGGCTTCAACAAATTGTTGCCCACAACACTACGACAGCGATGGACTAGTTATGTGCCTTCATTTGTTGCAAAATAATTAAATTTCGTGACTTTAAATTAAAAAAGCAAACAAAAGATGCACCGCACATGCATTTTTGCCGCAAATCCGAAATCTGTCAGCCAAAGTCGTTGACAAAGCTTAATATGTCTTCGGCACAACAGCTGTTGGTGTGAGCTTCTGACAAGTATGTCAGTATCGACTTGGTTGTCAACAGACCGGTTCGCATCCGTGTGACGGTAATAGGTGTGTTCGAAAAATATTCCATGACCGAAAACTCAATAATTTGAATAATCATTTAATTGATTTTTTTTGGGTGAAGCAGATGTGTCGATTATGCTCTGGAATAGAGACTATAGATCGAGTGGAGTTTGTAAATATTTTTCAGTGTTTAGGACTTTTACTAGGCACAGATCTGAACGCTCTGTGTATACAAATGATGGATTTGCAACATTGACAGAACATTATTTTTGTTGTAAACTTACACACTAGTTCGTTTTGATGGTTTGAAGGTTGGGAATATATTTTTTCTATTAAATCATTTTTTTATTTTGTTTTCATAACTAATTACTTACTGTTTTAGAACTATTGCGTATAGTCAAAAGAAGTTCATTGCCCATAGTGTTGAATTTTAACAATTGCGATCTATAATTAATTTTCAAGTGAAGATTGGGAAATAAGCTGGCAATTATCGAAGGAGCTCTGAAAAAGAGAAATATTTCATAAAATAATAAAACAATAGCAATTATTAACTATTACAAATTTGTATTCATTGAAAAATAAATATTACGATCGTGAACAATTTTAAGACCATAATAAGGCGTGATTTTTTAAGAGCTATAAGAATGTTTAATAAAAAATTAATGAAACATTACAGCATTGAGAGAGCAATCTTTAAGAGTTTTGGTAAAAAATTATAATCATATTTGTAATACCATATTGTGAAAAAATTGACACTCCATTCATTTTTAGTGACATTTTCCTTATTTAATAAAATTGTATAAATATGTCATATAAACTGAACAACCTGTTGAATATGTTTATATGTAAATATGACACTATAAGACATTACACTACACTACAGATTCTGTTAATTTCGTCAAGTAAGCCTACCTCTTGTTATTGTACCATGTATTTGCAAAACATCACATACACATTCACACATTTTGTACATGACTTGGGCATAACAAGCCATAATGTTTTGTCCCGCATATATCAGCCTGAAAATTGTACATTGGTGTATATAATACATAATTTACGAAATCCACTCGATCTCAAACGTCAATTCCATAGCGTATACGTCCCTTTAGTGGATTCATAAATCTTTTTAGCCAAAGACAAAAATTGAAAAGTCGACAGAGTAAAGGCTAAGCAGAATGCTCGCGTTGAGCCATCCGTTGCGTTATGTGTTATCGAAAATACAACAACCACATAGAAACGATAACACAAACGCTCGAAGTTGATGTGCGCTGCGCTTCGGAGTTAAATATATTTTAACTTTTTGCGTGCGTTAACGCGATAACAAAAAACGAGCTCGCGTTGAGCCATCCGTCGCGTTATTTGTTTGTGTTATCGTTTCCTTGTGGTTGTTGTATTTTCGATAACATATAACGCGACGGATGGCTCAACGCGAGCATTCTGCTTAGCCCTTTAAAAATTTTAAATTCGACTTTTGCATTCGAACTACATCATTCCGATAATTGATGGTATTTATTAACTTAACAGAGCACGCATTTTGATAATAAAATTGAATGATTTGCAACTCTTGTTTGTTTGAAATTTCATTGTTAAATTATAGACAAAACTGAAGATATTTGACAGTAAAACAAACCACGGAACGTGCGTGATAAACAGCTAATCAGCGTTGCCAAAATGATAATAGCTAAAAAAATCGCCTTTACAAGACTGTTTGTTTTCAGTCATTATCCATTATCTACGAATCCATGGTACAATAATATAAGGTAGGTCACATGATGCAATAATAAGGTAATGTATCAAAACAAAAATCTTTGTTTTTGTCTCGAACATCTGTCAAATGTTTCCATAGAATATTTCACATGGTTGGCAACATTGCACATCGAATTTAAGTAGAAATTACGCACTTTGAGACATCAGTTTGAGTTGAATAACAAAAAAACAACTGTAGGTGGTGGCTTCTTCTGCCAAATATAAAATAAATATACGCAACAAGTGTTTGTGTTTATTTGACATTTGTTTCAACCCATAACTAAAACGCGAAAAATGATTGAAAAGGTTTTGGTTTCTTTCCAAAATCCAGTAGGGAATTACTTCCAGACGGACGTGTTAAAAAAAAGTATTATTCATTTCAATTAAATTTGAATATAGTTCAATTTATTTTGAATTTATTCAAAACAATACACACATACACAAAATATGTGTTTTGATTTGATGGAGCCAAGCCACCTTGGGAAACAATTGTAATCAGTTGGTAGCTGTGCTCTACCTTGTAATAATTATACCATGAGTATGTCCAAGGTAGATGTATTAGGTAGTCGCATCGACCCAGTTGATTGTAACATTGAATCTCAAAACAAATTGTTGTAATTTTTAATTCGCCTTAAAAAATTAATTAATTTTTGTAAATAAAATTGAAGTTTCGTGATTTTTTTTTCCAATTTTACTTCGAAAGAACAAAAAATCTAAAAATGAACAGGAATTTTATATGAGGGCTACATCAAAACTGGAAATATTTTCGTGAAAGGTGTTTTATTTTACAAGAAATGATTCAACCAATCGGAACAAAATGTTTGTATACACTACACATCTATGTTAAATGTATGGATTGCCTCAAGAGTTTGTAGTTACAGAATAGGCCTACTGGTCTGTTTCAGTACTCAAAAACTGTTAAAATATTTCCAATATATAATGGGAAAACTCAAAACAGTTACGATTAATTAAATCCGTTTGTATTTTATGTGTCAATATCTTCTGTACGGATTAGCTATATGCCACCAACCGATGTTTTTATGACATTACTGGCCTAAACTCTTGACTGTTCAAATTAACTTTCCTTAATCATTTTGGCAATTAACGAAAATTTTCAATAATGCAACATTAACATCGACCGTGTTTTTGTCTAGAAGTTCGCATTTTGGCTTGCGCAGATGGCATATCACACCAACAACTTGTGGTACTATATATTCGGAATTTGTTCATGTTATTGGTGTGAAGCTGAACAATATACTTTGATAATTTCCGTGTAATTTTCAGAATAATTAAATATAAAAAATGTTTACATATTTGTTTAAACATAAGAAAAATTTTCTAACAATTCGTATCTACAACGCAACAAGCTTTTTTAACTAACAATTAATCGCAGTAAAAATTGCGTTTAATTACTTTCGACATACGTTGGACTTTCTGATCTACAATATATATATATATATATATAGCACAATGAAGACCAAAAATATACTTTATTCAAACGGAATTGAATTTCAGGTTGATAACGGTTGTATGACAAATCATGAATGTCATTAGCCCTATAAGATACTGTCATTAACCATCCATGAAGCCAATCGGCTAACCTAACATTGTGCTGAACGATGTGGACAAGTTCAACACTTTATATTAATCAAATTGAAATATGCGAATTTACATAGCATTGCTAAAAAGTAAACAATTTTTTTTCGCCGAACTGATTGCCAAAACATTCCTAATCGCTAATAAGTAAATTATTATAAAAAGTGAGTCATGTAATTATTTTAGCAGAGCACACCTGTTAACAATTGCAAACTCTTGTACACCGTGTATATTTTCTGTTTTATATCAGTTAATACTTAAGGTTCAATGGTTCAAAAAAAACAACAACAACAACAAAAACATACTAAATAAATAAAAAGTACCCAAAAGAAAAGTAGAAAATATCTACATCTCAAATAAATCGACTACGCCATTCCTATGTTTCAAAGGATGACGATTGTAATTCGAATATATTTACAGTACTTGCTAATCACACAGCCGTATGATTTCTCTCATTTCCATTGGTATTGGTTATCTCGAAAGAATTCAAAAATGTTGTTCATTTCTTCGTTTCAGAGTTTTATTGTTAATTATTTTCATTTGAATTTTACAATCTTTCCCTTGTTAATTTTCTAATCTTTTGCTATTCTGTAAACTTTGTACTTGATTTGCAAATGCCAACCGTAAACGGTAGCAGTTTATAATTCTATTAAAAAATATTTAGTACCTCTTAATTGATTAGGCTGACATTTTATAATACATTAATTTACTTTGAGAATAATTAAAAAATTTTATGATCCACACAACAACTGTGTGTATGATCCACACAACAGAGGTGAGATTAGAGAAATTCTAATCTGTGGATTAAAAAAACATTTAATAAAGCTAGTTACAAAGCATCTGTATAATCTATGTATATATCCTGACTATTTTCTTATGCTATTTTAAACAGTTTTTACAGTCCTAGGGGTAGAATCCTATGTCTTAAAGTTTGGACCAAACCGGGTACTTATATGATTTACACTTTTTTAATTTCAATTATTTTGTAGATCGATATTTCGAGAAGGCACATTTTTGTTGCATTAAAGTGTAGTTACCCTCATTAGCCTTAAGACTGAGGGTATACAAAATCAGAACATCTCCTTTATTCAGTCGATTTCCTGACCAATCTCTTTGTGCTTTTTCTTTATGTTCAGAATAGTATTTTAAATTCGAATAAATTAAGTACAGTTGTTATGGGAGGCCAATGGCCTAAAACTTTATCCAACGAACTACAATTGAATATTTATAAACAGCTCCAATTTGCATCTGATTATTGATTTAATTCGAAAGGTAAGTGAATCAGAACTATGAATAGACCAGAAATAATTAAAAGAAAACAGGGAAAGTATTTTCACATATTTTTGTTTAAACATAAACGAACGATTAGCTTTGCTGTCGACTTCTGAATAA